ATTGATGAAGATTAAGCCGCCCAAAAGGTGGCACGGGCATGAATAGCCCGTAAGTGGTGGCTTTTTTGAGCCATTACCAGTATCAAAAGCTGATACTGAAGATCTGTGGAGGTGCGAATGCACCCTGCATGACGGGAGATGTCTCCTTTGTGAATGTGTTAAGGTTGGGGTCTGGTTACACAACTGGTTGAGCTTCGGTTACACAACTGGTCGGGCTCCGGTTAAATAACTGGTCGGGCTCCGGTTAAATAACTGGTCGGGCTCCGGTTATATTAACTGGTCGGGCTCCGGGGGTGTCACTCCGGCTTTGGGTTGTGCATGGTCAGGCTTCGATTCGTGTATGGTTGTGCTTCAGCGGTTGTTTGTGTACTAGTGCTCCAGGTTTGTTTGCTAAGGCTCTATGTTTATATGTTTGCTAGAAATCGGGGTTTCTTTTTTTTGTATATAGTTCAATTGTTTGCTATGGGTCAATAGTTGGTGTTTAGGGTAAGTGGAGGGTTTTAGGTAGGGCTAAGGAGATTTTAGTTTGGTCGAGCTAGGAATGGAGTTTGGTTGTGCTCTGGGACTGTTTAGCTTTGTGGGGTTGGATAAGATGTATACTTGCTGGGCTTACGATTACACAACTGATCGGGCTTCGGTTACATAACTGGTCAGGCTCCGGTTACACAACTTGTCGGGGTCCGGTTACATAACTCCGGGGGTGTGATTTGTTAGGCTTTGGGTTGTGCATGGTTGTGCTCCGGTTCGTACCTGGTTGTGCTCCAGCGGTTGTTAGTGTACTAGTGCTCCAGGTTTGTTTACTAGGGCTCTATGCTTATATGTTTGTTAGAAATTCGGGTGTCTTTTTTTTATTTATTTAGTTCATTTGTTTGCTATGGCTCCATAGTTGGTTTCTAGGGCAAGTGGAGGGTTTTACGTAGCGCTAAGAATTTTGTTTGGTCGAGCTAGGAATGGAGTTTGGTTGTGCTCTGGGACTCTTTAGCTTGGTGGGGATGAGATGTATACTTGCTAGGCTTATGGTTGCACAACTGATCGGGGTCTGGTTACACAACTGGTTGAGCTTCGGTTACACAACTGGTCGGGCTCCGGTTAAATAACTGGTCGGGCTCCGGTTAAATAACTGGTCGGGCTCCGGTTATATTATGGTCAGCTTTCAGCCTCTGATTCTGCTACTGAGTTCAATAGGTTCTTCTCTTCCATTGGTTCATCCCTTGCAAATGATATTCCATCTTCCAGTACAGACATTAATGACTATCTTTCAGGTAACTATCCACAGTCTCTGTACCTAAAGCCTATTAATTCCACTGACGTCAATGAGATAATCCTTTCCCTTAAAACCAAGTCTGGTGCCCTTGAGGAGATACCAACTTTAATTTACAAAAAAGCCTCCAGATCTTTAGCCCCTGCTATTGCTTTGCTCTTCAACAAGTCACTTGAACTCCAAACCTTCCCAGATATTCTAAAAAAAGCGAGAGTAACGCCTGTCCACAAATGTGGTAATCTCACAGATGTTAACAACTACAGACCTATATCTATCCTGCCAAACTTGTCAAAAATTTTTGAAAAACTAATCTATAAGCAGCTTTACTCATATCTAGCCAAACTCAATATACTTAGCCCTTGCCAATATGGCTTCAGACCCAAAAAAAGCACTAACGATGCACTTATTAGTATGCTTAACTCGATTCATACAGCTCTTGATAAAAATGAGTTCTCTGTTGGGTTGTTTGTGGACCTGCGTAAAGCTTTTGACACTGTCAACCACCAAAACCTTCTTCTTAAATTACATCATTATGGAGTCAGAGGACACTCCCTACAATACCTCAAATCCTACCTTACTGACAGGCTCCAATATGTTTCTGTGAATAATACAATTTCTCCCACCCTACCCATCAACATTGGTGTTCCCCAGGGCAGCATACTTGGCCCTCTCCTCTTTCTCATCTACATTAATGACCTTCCAAATGCCTCCCAACACCTCAAACCAATTCTATTTGCTGACGACACAACCTTCATTTACTCCAGTCCTGATCCCCTTGCTCTAAATGCCACAGTAAATACTGAGCTAAATAAAGTCCATCTGTGGCTAACTGCCAACAAACTCACCCTTAACATTGACAAAACCTTTTATATTCTGTTTGGCAATAAATCCTCTAATCAAATAAATCTCAAAATAAACAATACCCAAATTTGTAACAAATTAGATGGCAAATTCCTTGGCATTCTCATTGACCACAAGCTTAATTTCCAGGGACACATTCTAAACATATCAAAAAAAGTTTCAAAAACTGTGGGCATTCTTTCTAAGATCAGATATTATGTACCACGCCCTGCCCTGGTGACTCTCTATTTCTCCCTTATCTATCCATATCTCAACTATGGTATTTGTGCTTGGGGCTCTACTACCCAAAATCACTTACGTCCTCTAATTACTCAACACAAAGCTGCTATTAGGACAATATCCAATTCTGGCCCCAGACACCACTCGGTACCCCTACTTAAATCTCTGAATATGTTAGACATTAAGTCACTGCACATTCTCTCATGTGTATTATACATATATAAAACGCTAAACTATAATGCCAATCCTGATCTCAAAAGCTTCATAGAAGGTTGTATCAGAACCCATGAGCATCACACCAGAAATAAATACAGTTTTGATATTCCTAGAGTACGACTTAATCAAACTAGAAATGCTCTACAAATCAAGGGGCCCAGAATGTGGAATGACCTTCCCAACCATGTTAAAGACTGTACCTCTCTCAACCAGTTTAAGTTAAAAGCGAAGCTATACCTAATAAATTCCCTGTAACCTACCTTACCCTTCTATTGTCAACCAATGTCTGTTTTTTTCTTTAAAGAGCGCTGTTTGTCGACATAATTGTATTTGTGCTGCTTTTTCATCTATGTTTTCATTTCTTGTTTTCATTCTACTCATTATGCTCAATTAGTATTAAGCTTGTCATTTAAGTTTATCATGCCCGAAACGCTTTGCGTAATAGTGGCTTTAGGCATTGTATGTACTAGCTATACCTATAAGTTAAATAATCCTTGTAAATATTTATTGTATGTATGTACCTTACCTAAATAAAATTGTATTGTATTATATTGTATTAACTGGTCGGGCTCCGGGGGTGTCACTCCGGCTTTGGGTTGTGCATGGTCAGGCTTCGATTCGTGTATGATTGTGCTTCAGCGGTTGTTTGTGTACTAGTGCTCCAGGTTTGTTTGCTAAGGTTCTATGTTTATATGTTTGCTAGAAATCGGGGTTTCTTTTTTTTGTATATAGTTCAATTGTTTGCTATGGGTCAATAGTTGGTGTTTAGGGTAAGTGGAGGGTTTTAGGTAGGGCTAAGGAGATTTTTGTTTGGTCGAGCTAGGAATGGAGTTTGGTTGTGCTCTGGGACTGTTTAGCTTTGTGGGGTTGGATGAGATGTATGCTTGCTGGGCTTACTGTTATACAACTGGTCGGGGTCCGGTTACACAACTGATCGGGCTTCGGTTACACAACTGGTCAGGCTCCGGTTAAATAACTGGTCGGGCTCCGGTTACACAACTTGTCGGGTTCCAATTGCATTACTCCAGGGGTGTGACTTGTTGGGTTTTGGGTTGTGCCTGGTTGTACTCCGGTTTGTACGTGGTTGTGCTCTAGTTCATACATGGTTGTGCTGCAGTGCTTGTTTGTGTACTAGTGCTCCAGGTTTGTTTGCTAGGGCTTTATGTTTATTATTACTAGAAATTTGGGTTTCTTTTTTTGCATATAGTTCAATTGTTTGCTATGGCTCCATAGTTGGTTTCTAGGGCAAGTTTAGGGTTTTAGGTAACGCTAAGGAGATTTTTGTTTGGTCAAGCTAGGAATGGAGTTTGGTTGTGCTTTGGGACTGTTTAGCTTGGTGGAGGTTGGATGAGATGTATACTTGCTAGGCTTACGGATGCACAACTGCTCGGGGTCTGGTTACACAACTGGTCGGGCTCCGGTTACAAAACTGGTCGGGTTTCGGGGGTATCACTTGGGCTTCGGGTTGTGCATAGTCGGGCTTCGATTTGTGTTTGTGCTTCGGATGTTGTTTGTTCTGTAACGGTTCTATTGTTACGTAAAGTATGGTGACAAATAAACACAGACACTAAGATACTATATATATATTTGGTCGAATATACAGAAGTACACAGGTGATACTTTGGTGTGAGTTGGGCGCACTGAGAGTCGGTACAGTATCTCGCAAGTGTCTGCTCTAGACCACACTTGAAAGTAGACTCTGGTTAATGTTTGCTATTCTGCTGCTTATATGCCCGGGCAACACCTCACCGTGTTGTCCGAGGAACGCCTCACCTGATTCATCTCTAAAGGTTGACAGGAATATTAACAAAGCATTTGGAGCGAGTATATTATTGGGATAATCTACTCGCTACAGTTCGATTCATTCATGCTAGGCTTGCGGTTACACAACTGGTCGGGGTCCAGTTATACAACTGGTCGGGGTCCGGTTACACAACTGGTCGGGGTCCGGTTACACAACTGGTCGGGGTTCGGTTACACAACTGGTCGGGGTCTGGTTACACAACTGGTCGGGGTCTGGTTACACAACTGGTCGGGGTCTGGTTACACAACTGGTCGGGCTCCTGTTACACAATAGGTCGGGCTCCAGGGGTACGTGTCACTTGGGCTTCAAGCTGTGCATTACCCTCTTTGTGTAATGAAATTTTAAAATAAAGTTAGCTATATATACACACACATACTAAAAGAATAGGGGTGGTAGGAGAAGAAAATATCAAAGTGTTCAGTGAGGATCCACAAGGTCTTCTCTGGGTACTCTTTATTATCTTTTTCGAGGCTATGGGTCCTCCCTACACTTGCACCAGAGGTGGTACCCCTTTTAGGTTTATCAAAATATATTACTTTGAAACCCTGTATCAGTCACAAAAAAAAAATTGGGCTACTCTTATTACAAATTCGCTACTTTCTGACCGTCAGCTCGCTACTTTCAGGAATTTGGATCTGGCAACACTGCCCCCCAGAGCTACGTTGTTTACATCTGGAGGAATGGAAGCCACGGTGCGCTATGTCTCCTCTGGGGTCAACCAGACACCTTCAGGCATCACCTGGGGCCTGGACGGGACGGTGTGTTATGCTGCAGGTACTGGAGTACTGCTGTATGACCCAAAGGTATTATATTCTCGATATATAATGATATGCCAGAGAAAAAAACATTCTGTACTTCTACTAAAACTACTTGTTCTTTAATCCAGTAGTCTCTGCCAGTCTTCATTAAGAATATAATTGAAATAAGTTTATTGAGGTAAAATACACACAAAGGTAGCTCAAGCTATTCTCACCCCATTCAGTACACCGTGTTAATACATACATAGACACACATCACAAGCAATAAACATATTACCGAACATTCTGAGAGATAAACATATAAATTTCCTCCTTTACACAAGTATTAAGAATATAAGAATGAAGGTAATTGACGGGAGACATCTCCCGTCACACAGGGTGCAGTCGCACCTCCACAGATCTCCAGTATCAGCTCTTGATACTGGTAATAGCTCAACAGGGCCACCACTTACGGGCTATTCATGCCCGTGCCACCTATTGGGTGGCTTAATCTTCATCAATCAATCAATCGAAGGTAATTGCAGAAGGCCTAATGGCCCATACGAGGCAGCTTCTATTTATAACCACCTTCTCATTCATATTGGAAGGGTTCCGCAGCTTGGCCAAAAGTTGGGCTCCAACTTGCATTGGTTACTCGATGAAAGGTATCGAGTAACCTTGCAAAACCAAACAGACCATTTATCAATATCCAATCAAGCAAAATGCATCTTCCAGTGACCTCCAGTACTTGCTTAGTTGAGCTTGTGAGGGTTGAGCTTCGGCTCTTTGGTCTCGTCGGGAATTCACTGTCTTCCTGCTAATTCCCAGCACTTCTTGGCCAAGCCAGGGGTGTACATTGTTTCCTTAACCAAAGTGCTGCACAGAAAAACTGGTTGGCACTTTCATCAAGTATCATAGAATAATTTTTTTTATATAATCTGCATTCCTGCTCCTTCCTCACTCCTCTTCTTTTTCCAAATCCTTCCCCTCCTAAAGCCAGAGAAAAAAAAGAGAAATGATGCTTTTTCATTCACGTTGAGGAAAATAAAATTTGTAATATTAGTAGTTACTGTAAGTAATTTCAGTAATTTTAATTATTGCATCTGCAGAGTGGAGCAGTGACTGGGGCTAGTACAAAGGTACACACCAACAAAGTTACTTGTGTGAGATGGGTTGAGCCATTGCCATCAACAGGTCGCAGTTTGATCTCTACTGGTGCAGATACAAAAGCTGTGGTCTGGACTGTATCTGAAGAGAAGACAGAGGGTCTGCACGTTTTACGTCCTTGTGCTGTGTTAGGTTTGTATGCGTATTAGGGTTTGATTTTTTTGTATGTAAATGACACTTGTTCAGTCCCATTTTAACCCTTTGCAAACAGTTATTATTATTATTATTATTATTATTATTATTATTATTATTATTATTATTATTATTATTACAGTATTATTAAACTTTGTTTTGCCCTTGTCTCTTCAGAACTTGATATATTTAGAAAATTACTTACATGTAAGACTGAACATTAGTGAATTGTTACCTTGCATTGGCTGACTAATTTACAGGGATTAAGCACATAACTCATAAAATCTAATTAGTGTAATTTTTTTTCAACTTTCTCTGTTCAATCATTTTAGTACAGTATTTGTAATTTTTCTTTATAACTTTAATAAATATATTATATTCATGATTTTTTTATAAGGTTTAGGGATATGACAATCCCATCACTTACCATTGGTGGAAATTGCCTTGAATCCCCATGTAAATGTAAAACACTATGCCACTAATTGCAAAATTGTCACATGTCTAGTCATCACAAATAAATCAAACTTCAAAGAGTAAAACTTTGAGTGATGAGGTTTAATTGTTCTGAATAAGTTTGTGCACGTTCTTTATGATTTATGATTGATTGTTTTCCCGTTCTCTGCAATCAAACCCTCCAGATCACGAAGATGCTGTCAGCCTCGCTGATGCTACAGTTATTATGGAAGATGGGAAAGAGAAGATATTGGTTGTAACTGTGACAACAGACATTATAACTTGTTGGCTTGTTTGCCCTGTATCAGGTAAATTTATGATACAGTACTTTTATGTTTGTTAGCTCTGCAAGACTTTTTGTATTTGCACTATACTAAATGCTTGCAATAAATTTCACTTCAGTTTTAATATTTTGGTAATTTATCAAGGATAATATTCAATAGACCTTGTAGAAAACAATTTTTTATGTAATCCCATTGAATATTGATAGATAAGTGACGTACTGTCCCGTTTTCTATTTTGGGTCCTCGGGTATGTTAGGAGACATCACTTGAAATTGACCGTTTTCTTGACGTTGGGAAACCTTAGTAGGGCGGGCTGTTTTGTCAAGGCAACCTCAAGCCATTTTTAGCCTTGTTTGACGACCACAGCATTATCAGAAAAGTAAAATAATTACATTTAAACGACTACAGTCTCCGTGGTGTAGTGGTAAGACACTCGCCTGGCGTTCCTCGAGCGCTATGTCATGGGTTCGTATCCTGGCCGGGGAGGATTTACTGGGCGCAATTCCTTAACTGTAGCCTCTGTTTAACGCAACAGTAAAATGTGTACTTGGATGAAAAAACGATTCTTCGAGGCAGGGGATCGTATTCCAGGGACCTGCCCGAAACGCTACGCGTACTAGTGGCTGTACAAGAATGTAACAACTCTTGTAGATATCTCAAAAAAAAAAATAAAATAATAAAATAAAATTGTCGTGATTAAGGTATGAGAAGTGGCAAGACTCAAAAAATAAGGAAGATGCTAATGTTGATGAGTATAATTATTGATAATATCAATGTTTGTCAACCTCATTACTGTATCTCCTACCTTAGTGGAGTATGGAAGCACTTACCCAGTGATGGTGGTGAATGTAAATATGCAATATAAATGTGAATATGCAATATAAACTCACTAATACAGTATGGCCATAATTTTTTGTGCTATGTATTTATAAGAACAATGTATAAACTATATTAAAATTGTTGAAAAACATATTATTATTTATCAAATTAAGCTAGCCTACTATGAATTTTATAAAACAAGAGAAAAATCCAGTACAGTACTACTAAGTTTTTTTAATAACATTTACAGTGTATAATACTTAAATTTAAGTAGGAATTGATAGTGAGGCTTGGTACACAAAGTGGTCTGTATTCTGGAAACGGTTTTGAGCAAGGTAAATATCAAGGGAATACAGTAGAGTATTAACATGCTTTTGGATGGAAGACAAGAGTTGAAGGAAGAGACTTTGTGATGGGTTGAACAGTTCTTTGGATCAATCTTAGGATGTAGTGTTGAGGTGCAATTATCTGTTCTATGTTCTCAATATTAATGGCGATGATTATTTCAGGAGAGTTTGAGCAGCTTCATGAATTCTTAACTCCTGCAAGGACATTTATCATGAGCCTTCGACTATTCTATGTGGAAGGAGCAAAATATCCAGCCTTTGCCTGCGGTGGACATGACTGTAGAATTCATATCTTAATGGCCGACGAGCTGGGATGCTACTATCCCGCAGCTGTGTTAAATGGTCATGAAGATTGGGTCATGACCCTAGAGTTCATGAAAGAAGGCAAGTTGGGTATTATTTTTAAAGCATTTGATGTATGAGAAAAGAAAGAAAATGTTTATAAATTTAACGTGTGTTATAGTGCACTTCAAAGATGATATTTTCTTTATGTAATCTGCATGTAGTTAATTAATACTGTAATTGCATAACTGTTGAAGAAATTCTCATAGCTTTTGTGAAGCAATGAAAATGTTGTACATTAGAATGCAATGCCATGACAATTTTTTGCCTCACCTATGGTAGTAATAGGATTCAAATAAACTATTTTATGCTGTTGTTCTCATGTGCGCTATATAATGATATTCTGCCCCCTTGCCATGAACATGACACACTCGGGCAGGAACACGTACAACACTGATGCTTCAAATGCATATTACTGTCTATTCTCAAGCCCAGTATAAATGGAGTTTCCATTAATGTTATTTATCTGGCCACTAAGGTTCAATTGAATTGAATTCGATTTAGTGTTTATTCATAAGACTGTGTATACAAAGAACATAAGAGTAATGTACATTTGTAGGGACAGGAGTTACACATACTAATGAAGCCACTATTACACAAAGCGTTTCAGGCAAAGGCCAAACTTTAATTTGGACTTTAAACTCTGATTAATTTTCAGCTGGCTATGGTAAACTCTGCTAAGGTTGTTACTGTCCATTTTCTGAGTGACCTTGCGCATATATATCATAACCAGTGACTGCCCAAATCGTTTAGAACTGCATAATCAGTATTATTATCTAATATCTATGTTTCAGATGATGGTGGCTTGCTGCTTGCTAGCGGCTCAAAGGATTCTTCGGTTCGACTATGGCGTTTTTCAACCCTAAAAAATGATGAACAGTTACAAGAGGCAATGAATGCAGGGAATAAAGAGCTGAGATTAAAGGCTGTAATTTTTCAGTTGCCATCAAATTCTTCAGATGTTATAATGTCTGTATTATTAGATGCCATTTTAGCAGGGCATGAAGGCTTGGTATCTGAAGTATGCTGGGCTCGACCCATTGTTAAAGGTAAGACTACACAATATTGTGTACCATTATCATTATATAATTGTTTTACAGAAAGCCATTCAAAGTGTGCAAAGATGTTGAAAGCTTTCTGGTGGATGGGTGGATATGTAGTTACCAAAGTGTAGTTATAGGATGAGAGCTATTCTCATGGTGTCCCATCTTCCCAACACTGTCATATGATGCTTTGAAACTGCTGATGGTTTTGTCCTCCACCACCTTATTTAACTTGTTCCAACTGTCTACCACTGCAAAAATAAATTTTCTTACTTTCTGAAAACTTTCCTTAAGACTACTCATAGCCCAGTCGATAGAGCTTCGGCCTCACGTGGACCCCTCGAACCGTGGGGTCCATGGTTCGAGACTGCTACAGCCCAGTGACGGGAATGCTTATCAGTCCCTGCATGACTGGCTTTTCCTCTTTCAATGCCCTTCACCTTCCTACGTGGTGTACTCCCTGACTCGTTGCTATGGCATAATTGCTTAATTCTCCCTGTCTAATTTCTTTCTAAACACACTGTGACCTCCATATGATAACTTATGTTCCTAGATATATGGGCTCTCCAGAGATACCCAACATGTCAGACTTCCATCCAGTGATAAGGGATATAAGTCTTGTACACTGCCTGGTGCACTCTGCACTGCAATATGCCACTCAAGTCATCTGTGGGAAAATCCTGAGGGACCATTCTCTCACAATATCTTAATTTTTTAGCACTCCTCAAACTGCTCCTCTCAACCTCAAGAAATAGACCATTGGTGTGCCTAATGCCTATGGGAGACTAGATGTGCCCTGCATCATGTTGTTGGTTTTTAGCTCTTATCACAAAAGGCAACTTTGCAGTGACCTAAGTTTTGCAAAACCTAGTATTTTTTCATAGCATGATCTGGAAGAAAGGGTAATTTGCAAAATGTTTTCCAAGCCGTTTTCAAATTGTTATCCACTATTCCAATATTTGATATTTTAGCACAAGTTGTGCTGTACTCTAGTTTGATTATATGTAATAAGGCTGTAAAATTTATTCTGTCCCTTGTTCTTAATTCTCTTCACTAGAGAGCAAGAGATGCCAACCCTACAAGCTTCTCACATGCTCAAAGACTCAGGACCGTTCCATTATTATCTGGGAACCAGAGTATGAGTCCGGTAGTGGCAGTGGACTGTGGTTGGAGGTGGCCCGACTAGGAGAAGTTGGTGGCAATATGGAAGGCTATTATAGCTGCCAGTTCAGTCCTGATGGAACACAAGTGTTAGGTTGCAGTTATCAGGTAGGCTTGGGATATTTTTGGTCAAGATTTTTCTTTAAATGAGTGACAGATGATCCTGCTCTTCAATTGTATAATTATTGTTTATATTTTTCACCCATTATATATGGAATGACTTGTTCAATGGTCGTCTTGATATAAATTGCCATCCACACTTCCGTGGAAATAAACATTCCATTCACCTGGGCTGTATGGGTCTTGAACCATGGACCCCACACGTGTGAGGCCATAGCACTATTTTTGGAGCTTTGACTCTGAAATGCCCAAAAAAGAACACAATAAAAGTAAAATACTTTTTATTCCAGTTTTATCTTTCGATTTCTTTTATATTTCACCATTTCACAATAGTACATTTAAAGAGTTTCTGATATTTTGGGGTTTATTTTTATTGAAAGATGTATGCACTAGAGTATTTTCCCACAAGTGGAAGATAACTGGAATCTATAATTGATCATAATGCACCCCATGAAGGATAGATAGATTAATAAAAGTAATGCCTATTTGCTGAAGTGTCTGCCTAATGAAATCTGTAACAAAGTAGACGACTAGAGCAAGCTTATATTTTCAGGGTGGACTCCATCTCTGGGAACACGAGGACAGTGTTTGGCAGCCTTGTGTAGTGGGTGGCGGACACTACGATGAAGTAGCCGATATAGCTTGGGATCCTTATGGCAGGTTAGTGGATTAACATTGTGTTTTGTTTTATGTGAAGATGCATAACTATGGCATTCACACATATTTTCTATGGTTTTACCTGCTTATGTAATTAAAATGGGAGCATTTTATGTAGAATATACCGCGGGTATTTTACCGACAAGTCATACCCACTTAATATTGAACACCCTAGCCGAATCACTTAAGAATTTTCTATTAATTTGCCACTGTAAGGTATGAAAATTTAGCCCTAATGATCTCGTAAACATCTTTATCAACGTTATTATTGTGGCTAAAGCATATATGCATCCAAAGCTTTGTAATAGTTTTTCTGTATGATTAAAAGTTGTATAGATGAAGCAGTTAGCATACATAAACACTTGACAATGAATTATTAAAAAGATTTCAATATTGTATTTGCAATAATATATATAAGAGTACAAATATATATACAGTATGAGGTAGTTGCTTACTGAGCTTTAAAACCCTGCCTCATACCTATTGTACTTGGCGCACTCATACCCCATGATGTTGCAGTACAGTATGCTTGTCGTACATGCCTTGCCGTTGTGAATGGCAGTTTCTTCGACCACTTCTGCATAAACTTATTCCCATCACTACATAAAAGTATTTTCTCGGATCCCTTTTGTTCATCTGTGTTTCCAGCATCCACCTGAAGTTCTAGCTTGTTTGTTATAGCACTCACATACAGTTATAACAGTCACATACATGGATATTACATTACCTGTTTACTGTTTATTTCTACCAAGAAAAGGTTGTGTCCCTGTGGGGTATGGTGAGATTCATCTTGGTCTGGGTTTGCCTGGCAGAAGAGAGGATTTATACTTTGGATTTATACCTGTGGTGTTGATTATGTTGGAGAGCTACGGGATACTGTTCATTATTACAGTGTTGATGCTAGCTGTATTGAACGTGTTTACAACCTGGTGGTACTATTTCCCTTGTTTGATTTGTAAGTGTAGTAAAGTTTTTATATTGTCTGGTACCCACTCTTATTATTTTTTCTCGCATCTAATGGTTTGCATAAATATGTATAGAGTTCAAGTATGTTTATTGAGACAAGAAAGAAATACATCTCAAAGGGATAGAGTAGCTTAGGCTATTTCTACCCCCCCATGTACAGAGTAATATAGCACATCTAAATCCTACACATACTTTCAAGGTACCTATTGTCAGTCAGCAAGGACCAAACTACTCGTCTGCATGCACCTTGGAAGAAAGCGGAAGATGAGGTTAGTACTTGCCCTTCTGAAGTAGTGTACACGTGATGAGATAATCTTTTTAAATAGCTTTTTCTGCAATAGTCATTTGGGAAAGATCAATAAATTCGATAAAATTGCAAATGCTTTTTCTGACTTGTGAGAAATAAGACAGGATCGCTTGGTAAATGATCATCATACGAGCTGGTGAAATTAAGATTCGTTTTGTAGATACAAACATAATTAATCTCCTTTTAATGTTACATTTTTCTCGACGAAGAATTTAATGAATTGCCAGATGAGAGTATTTGTGATTTGCTATACGTTCTCCTACAGGTTGTTTGGCACGAAGTGGGCCGACCACAGGTTCATGGCTACGATATGGCTTGCATCTCTAGCTGTGGTAAATACAAGTTTGCATCTGGCGCTGAGGAGAAGGTTATACGAGGTTTTATTGCCCCGGCCAACTTTATACGCAATTTTGGCCAGATATGCGGTATTGACGTTGAGGAAGATGTAGGTGAGAAGACACTAGTCAATATTGAAACCAATTTTTTTTTTTTCTCATTTTTGAAAAGATTATAATTTTCAGAATCGCCAATGATTCCATGATATGCATTTTGTAACCAAAATTTAATGTAGACACTATGGCTTGCATTGCCGTGTTTGCACCACATCGTCTCCCATTCTCCAATAAATACTTTTACAGTACAACATATTTTGAAATAGAAATCATTGTATTTTACAAGTTTGTTTCTATTTCTTAGTTTTTATCTTTAACCGTAAGACAGCGGTTATCATCAATTGTTTGACAGGGTGTGGTTATCATCATACTTTTTGAAGATTTAAAAAATTATCTGGGTTTTACATGTATGATTCAAATATGGATAATAATAGGTCTATGTGGCTGTAATGGGGTTTACCTTGACCCCATAAAAAAAATCCTACCACCATTTCATGGTACAGATGTGGTTATTGTCAAGAACGTTACTAAGGGAATGCAGTCGTCATCATATGATTTATAGACTTATTGTCTGGGGTTTTACATGTATGATGCAAATATGAATGTAATAGCTCTCTGTGGATGTAAATAAAGAAAAAATGTGATAAAACAATTGGCAAAACATCGGAGGATAAAACGGGAAGCTTCAGCGAAGTTGAGCACCAGGTGTTGACAAGTCGGATGCAGCCTCACAGAGCGCCTCCACCCAGTTGAAGAGGGGAGACAGTAGATAGTTTTGCCAGGTGGTTGAGGGGAAAAAAGAGAGTAGAGGGAGTCTTGCCAGGTGGTTGAGGAGGGTAGTTACCAGAAGACAATGTTACTACTATTCTGTGCAGATACAAAAAAATTTTGTACAAAATCTCATAAAATGTTTGTAGCTACAAAGTACAGTAATGTATGTTTAAGCACATTTTATGGTGATTTTCCTTTTGGTACTATTATTGATCTATTCAGTAACTTCAAATATATATTTCATCTTGTTTATTCTTGCAACAGTCTTTAAACAGTATATTTTATAATTATTATCACAAGAAACTATTCATTTGCTAATTGTCTTGTTATGGACCTGATATTTAATTTTCTCATTAGCCAAGTGTGAAGTTGGAGAGGGCGCGTCGGTACCGTCTCTTGGTCTGTCCAATAAGGCAGTTATGATTGCCGACCTGAAAGAGCAGCAGATTGAAGAGGAAGGAGCAGACGAGGTGCAGGTTTACTTTAAGCCTCTCTCTCTTTATGGTCAGTAACATGAAAATAAGTCAGTATCTGTACAGGAGTTCTGGATGTATATTAATATAGGATAAGCAGCAGTTTACTTCAGGCCATGGAAAAACAAATTTATAGGAAAAGAATATACTGTACTTCATTTGTGAACTTTTAAAGAGAGCACAGTAGGAGAGCTTCCCGGGCTAGTATGGACAATTTTCTCAAAGTAGCAGCTCGTGCCTGTTGTCATAATGGACACCACTGGCATAGCCTCTCCTCCTTGGTTTTGTTTTAGATTTGTCATCCCATTTTTTCAAATTTGGTAGGGCAATTTTTTTTAATTTCTCATCCCCTACCATTCCCATGCTCAATTGAAACACTCCAGATCTCTCAATATTTTATATTTTTGTTGTCATTGGTTTTGGGTATTGCCATTGCTCAAAGACATCACTTTTAAGACTATTTTTTCTGGGGGGAGCCCCGTCGGCTCCCCGGAGCTATCCAGGCTGATATGGATATTATTAGCTTTCTGGCATCAAAGTGCACAGAGTTTGGCATACTGGGGGATCACTAGCCAGAACCTGGCCCCCTCAGATGAGGCACAAGGAGTAATGGCCTGTAGAAACCCCCGTGTGGTTGGGAGCATTCTTTGTCTGCCATCGAACTGAGACTCGCTCAGAAATTTGGCGTTTCATTATATTCAATGCTGGTTTGTTGTCTGGCTAAATTCTAGTGCGTAGGATCATGTTCTCCCTTGTTGTCCTGGAATGAGATGGACAAGATAATGTAACCTAACAGTCTTAGAAGGAACAGGAGTGATATAATTATACTATACAAGATTTTGAGGTAAATAGAAAAGGTGATAAGAATAGCCTTTATGCTGAGAAAGATTAGGACAAGACGACATCAGTGAACACAGAGTAGCTGTAGAAACATAAGGTGCTACTTGAACTCGTTACAGATGGGGAGCAAGTGAAATGCACTGAAAGAGGATGTTGGAGATGCCTCAATTCACAACTTCCAAAAAAAATACAACACTGAACTTAAACATCAAGAGATTTAAAAATACATTGGGTACATAAAGCTAGGAGGTGGGGCATAAAAGACCTCACTCTCCATAGTCACTGATGGGCAAGCATTGAAAGGCAACAAACATACTGTGATCACTTGTATTCCTTCTTCCCAACCCCATCGACAACACCAAAAACCATATACCCCCCAACTCTATCCATCTATCCACGCCTACCTGCACACCCTATCCATCCACGCCTACCTGCACACCCTATCCATCCACGCCTACCTGCACACCCTATCCATCCACGCCTACCTGCACACCCTATCCATCCACGCCTACCTGCACACCCTATCCATCCACGCCTACCTGCACACCCAATCCATCCACGCCTACCTGCCCACCCAATCCATCCACGCCTACCTGCCCACCCCACCCCCCCCTAATGCTCATTCTTTTCCCTTCTCTGTAGGAATATATTTTTATTTACATGAATATGTTTGGAAGCTATAATTATTTTTTTGAACGTTGAAAATATTGCTTGAGAGACATGCCTTATACAGGGATTGGGAATACGTCCCTCACTCTGCTAAAATAAATACTAGTAATTAATTGACTATGAAAGATGCTAAAGTGCCATGGGAGAAATGACTAAGACCAGTTGAGTGAGATGAGCAAGTGCACTAAATATACGTCTTGGAGCAGATCCACCAATACTGAGAGATGGGGACACGTCAAAATCTTTCCCCTAGACTGTGCTTGACCTAGCTAATGGATTTTGTATATAAAGGGATATTACTTTTTTCATGTTATTAATACAAAAAATTGTCTTTAAACTCTTCAGAACCACCAACAGAAGACCAGCTAATGCAGAACACTTTATGGCCTGAAGCCACCAAGCTGTATGGTCATGGTAATGATATTATTGCCTTGGCCGCTTCGTCCGATGGGGCAGTTCTTGCATCTTCGTGTCGAGCAGCTAAAAATTTGGATGCCAATATTATTATTTGGTAGGTTATCACTTCAATATTGATTATTATAATTACCCAAAGCCATAGCATAAGAGTATCCTTGATGAGCCCCATAATGTTTTCACAATTTAAGATTTTATTTATTCTTGGGAATATGAGAAGAATTTCTTTTTTGTATTTCCTTGTGTGCTTTGTTCTTATTGCACCATAAAATGGTGTTAAATGTGCAAAGGCAACTTATTAAATTAAATATCTGAAATGTGAAAATGGCTACTTTTTGCTCAGAATAAACTTTAAAACTTGATTTTATACCTACCCAATTTTGTCTTTAGAGGCATCTCCAGCCATGATATTGGCATTGAGATAACTGCAATGTAAGTACTCACCTAGTTGTGATTGTGGGGGTTGAGCTTTGGCTCTTTGGTCCCGCTTCTCAGCTTTCAATGAACTGGTGTATATATTCCTGAGCCTACTGGGCTCTATCATATCTACATTTGTAACTGTGTATGGAGTCCGCCTCCACCACATCACTGCCTAATGCATTTTATCTGTTAACTACTCTGACACTGAAAAAGTTCTTTCTAAAGTCCCTGTGGCTCATTTGGGTGCTCAGTTTCCACCTGTGTCCCCCTTGGAAACTGAGTACCAGTGGTACACCCACTGGGCTTACAGTAAACTCTGTAACCAGAAATCACTTTAGCAATAAATAGTTTTGAGAATAATATTGTGCTTCACATCGTTGCAGGGATACAACAACATGGCATAAAATTGATACGTTAGCCAAGCATCGTCTTACTGTGACACAGATGGCCTTCTCTCCAGATGATGAATATCTTCTGTCTGTATCACGAGATCGTAGTTGGACAGTTTTTAGGAAAGAGACAGCTGAAAATAGTGCAGGTAATAGTATTATTGTTTTTAACATTATTTCCACATTGTGGAGCCTGAGTTCATTGATCGCCTTGGTGTCCAGTGTCACATCCTCTGCGTTCAGCATTTAATCAGCATTTAATCAGCATTGCTCATATTATCCTTGTTGTTTCCTTGCCAAACTTCAAGTATTTTAACATTAGCAGGAGTTTAAATTTTTGGTTATAATTGTCTCATTATTTTATATGGTATATATCCCTAATAGGGATAACTTTTGGTATTGTTAGAAGTCTATAATTTGTCTTACTTTTGCTCCAAAATTGGTGTCACTATGATGTCTGGAGAATGCTCTAGCATGTTATGTTTGGTGATGCAAGGAAGATCCTTGTTATTCCCCTGGTGAATGAATTCATAATAACTTACATAATTGGTTAGTGGGAACGGGGTTTTAAGCTTTCAGCCATTTCTTAAAAATTAGTACATTATTATATGCTGCTTAGCTGCACTAACCTATGTCATACTTGTGCTGGTCCCAGGGTATATTCACTGGTCTTATTTGAAATTATATATTTGCAACTTTTGTAATGGGGCCAATTATATGATTTTCTTTGTTATTTTGCAAAAATAATTTAACTCTATTTTGACTAAAATTTGTTAGGCAAAGTTTCGAATCTGCATGTCATACAACCATATTGTGTGATGTGTAAATTTGTATTACCATAGCTTTAATAGTTTTATTATTGGAAATTCTTCATAATCGCAAGAGCTAAAATCTGGTCTTAATCTTGGCCAAATTTACAGAATTTCTTGAAACAATTTATTGAATTTACTTTGTGCTTTGTAATTAAATCATTTCATTTGCAGCATTTTTGACCAGTCTCTGATATGTTTTAAATGGTCATAAATAAATACCTGACATTACTTCCAACCCACCAGGAGGTTACACTTCTGATTATTTTATCTCCCACCTTATCTATCTACAGTACTCTCAACCTTTTCCTTCTCTTTCTTTCTCCTCAAAGTTACAATACCCTCTAACCATCCTTTTACCATCCAGTTCTTACCTATCAGTATCTACAGGGAATGATATTTAGTTGTACAAGCCCAACAACTTAGCTATTTGTACCTGTGCATTTAAACTTGTCATTCATATTGTTATATTTGCCCTTGAAGCTCCTCTGGATGGGGGGTAACTTCTACTTCAATACCTCTAGGTGTTTTTGTACTTCTGGCTCATTTGTATTTCCAACTTTCACTGATATCCTCTTGTCCTATTTTCCCCTCAATTTGAAAAGGCTATCCTTGTGTGCCCTTGTTCATTCCCCTTAGTATTTTGCATGTTGTGATCATATTCATTCTGGTCTCTCTCTCCTCTTAAGTTGTTAAATCTATAATGTCATTATAGCATAAACCTCTTCGTTGCCTTGCTGCAAAGTTATGAACTTCTTGTTGTGCTTTACTAGAATTCAGATTCTATGCTGCATATTCTAGTGTTATTAAAGACATTGGAAGTAAAACGTTTCAAATCTATAATTCAATTTTATACTGAAACCATAAATATAGTAATAGTTTATGGTATTTGCTCCTTATAAAACATGATGTGATAAACAGTTCTTTGTAAAACTTGGACTGGCTTCAGTAGAAGCCTCCAGACTTCCTATGGATTCAATGGAATCCCAGGTTGAATAACTTATCACTGTACCACCACAACTTGGTATAAGGTGTGTGACTGGGATTTCCTAGATTGCTGGTTTGAGTCACCTTGGTGCTCCAGCTGATTTTCTCATTGATATATATATACTGTATATATATATATATATCACATTAGTGTGATTTCTTTGTGTATTAGGTGTAGTGGTAACCCCCTCACAAATGTTATGGACTTTTCTACAAACTTGCTGTGGGATTTTGTTCTTTAGCAAGCCGCCATGAAATGTACATTTATGGCAGATGGTCAGTTGCTTCGTTATATTGTCTTGCAAAAGTTTCAGTATAGGTCACATTATCTGTTCCGTTAACATCAAAACATTAGTGAATTGTCAAAATCTGCACATATGTGCATACAGTATTTGCATGTGCTTTTGTGTAGAATTTAGAAATTCTTCATATTATGTTCTCTGGAACTGATGAAAAGGTTGAGATTAAAAATGGATGAAAAGCATAGTGGTAAGAGGGAGGATTTAAAAGATGTAGCATAGGCTATTCATTAGAACGGTCATTGAAAGAAAAGAATTTAATGTTGTACAAGAGTTTATTGCATTGCTAATTATAGTCATGTGTTGCAATTATATTGTTACATAATGTATATTATTTCAATAACCTTCAAAACACTGACACTTTTTTTTTCAGGTTTTACTTACAAAGTATGCGATTTTTCAAGTAAAAAAGAAACTCTGCATAGCCGTGTAATTTGGTCCTGTGCCTGGCTGCCAGATTCACGTCACTTTGTTACTGCTTCAAGAGACAAGACTGTTGCAGTGTGGAGACACACCGAGACCGGCTGGTTGAGACAAACTCTTCTAAATGAATCTGATGAAGTGACAGCAGTGGCAGTGTCCAGAAACATTGACAAGGAAGCAAATGGCTCTGTGCTTGTGGCTACTGGTAAGCAAGAGTATTTTAACTCTCATTTATTATACGTTATGAGTTGAATAACATATAGGTGAATGTTAACAATGCATAGAAAACAAATACTGTATTCACATACTGTATCTATTCTTTATTTTTAAAGTCTTTCAAAGATGTTGAGTGCAAAGGTTAGCCAGTTGTAAAGTTGAGAGTTTAAGATGGTTTGGTCATGTTGAATGATTGGATGATAGTAGTGAAGAATGTGTGTGTGTGTGTGTGTGTATTTAAGGGTAAAATTAGGAGATGAAGGTTAAGATAAGTCATGGCGAGTGAGAAAAAATCTTTGAATGAAAATCCATGGGATGGACTTTACACTCATTAGTAAGAAGCAATAGATTGTTGCTATGGATGTTTAGCAGGAACATAATTGTATGGATTGTGTGACTTGCAGTGTAGAATATATGATGAATGGTAGGGGCATCCTTTTAACCATCTTCTCATAGCCATTCTATTCCTTCCGTGTTGATGTCTTGCTGCCTACTAAATTAAGAAGTGGGGTAAGGCTAATGAAGAAAAATATTAGGCACTGGGTATTCTTATTAAATATTTAAAATATATAAGTTCTGTTTGCATTTACAGTTCAAAGCTTGCATGAAGGAAACTTTGTACAAGGTGTACTATGAAAATACAAAGTAATTAATGCCTGCGTTGGTGCAGAAAAATAGTTTTAAATCAGGATCCAGCACAGTGAATCACATCACATTTCACAGATTTTTCCCATCATTCGCAGGCTTAGCATGCCGTTGCAAAAAACATGTCTGGCATAAGTACATACTATGTATATCCAACTCTTACAGACCTAGATTAATACCAGAATTAAGAGGGCTCGGCTATGGAAATACGTTGCAACATGAGGAGAGGAGAGAGAGAGAGAGAGGATATTATTATTTGAAGTCTCCGTGGTGTCGTGGTAAGACACTCGCCTGGCGTTCCGCGAGCGCTATGTCATGGGTTCGTATCCTGGCCGGGGAGGATTTACTGGGCGCAATTCCTTAACCGTAGCCTCTGTTTAACGCAACAGTAAAATGTGTACTTGGATGAAAAAACGATTCTTCGCGACAGGGGATCGTATTCCAGGGACCTGCCCGAAACGCTACGCATACTAGTGGCTGTACAAGAATGTAACAACTCTTGTATATATCTCAAAAAAAAAAAAAAAAAAAAAAAAAAAAAAATACATAAAAGAAAATGAGGAGAATAAACAAGATGAACTAGGATGGTCTATTTAAATAAGAGGGGCAATAGGGCAATTGAACATTGGTGAAAGCTAGATATAACAATTGAGTTGTAAAGATTAAGTAAATTCTTGTACCCTATTCCCTGAAAAAAGTTATGAGTCACTTTCATCCATAACTTCAAGAAAAAATAAGATAAAATTCCTTATAAGAAATATAATTAGCAGGCCAGATATAATGAAGACGAGGTGGTGGGCGATAAAATGCTCTTCTATCCCAATCTGTTCAGCAGCAATAGTATAAAAATTGTAGATAAAATTATCTAACAAGTAGATAAAATTGCTATAAAATGTTAGGTCACTCATCACCTGGTTCTTTCTGTGTACTTGTATGCATGTTCCTTTTAAATCATAGCATCTAGGTACTGTCCTGACAAAAAATTTATTTTGTCAGTTATAACACACTTGGCTTAACATGCCTCAAACAATGATTATATAGCAATTCCATCTGTGTAACAAGTACTGGATATTTTACTGTGCAATTTCTTTGCTATTCCAGGCCTTGTAAATGGAGAAATTCATATTAGACGATACAATCTAGATAAGATGGTATTTGTCAAAGTGCTGCAAATATTCCACAAACACCAGAGTATGGTAAGACGTCTGCAGTTCAAGCCATCAGTAGAATTCAGTGGTAATGTTGTTCTTGCTTCTTGTGCAGATGATAGAAGAGTACAATTGTTCGAGATTAAAACTTAAGTACGGTACTGTACTGTACTAGTCATCTTTGTCACCAGAATCTATTTTCTACTCTTTAAATATATTTAAAAGCCTTAATTATTAATTAACTCGAAACTGTTGGATTTTTTTTTTATTAAAGGTAGAAAGATTGGAAGTTTTGCTTATCGTGCAGATTCACATTCATCATTTTTTCAGAGAGCACGTTGCATAAACGTAACTCAATAAGGTGTTAAATTTATCTATAGTGCATCAGTAATTCAATGCTTCAAAAGATGCATGATTACAAATGTCTGTTTTAACAATTGCAATATTTCAAAATGTGATGCACTTGTATGGTACTGTTGTCTGAGGGGCTTTGTCAGTACACCAAAGAATCATCAGGCAAAACTAAAACCATTTAATTTTGTTTGTTATATTATCAATATTAAATGTTGTTATCTAATAAGATCTTTTGTACAAAAAAAGAAAATCTATATAAATAAAGTGTAGACAGTACATTAGTAGCATTATTACTTCAGTGAGACTTTGTTGGTGTTGTCAGGGAACATACTAGTTGTGGAAACATGCTGCTCGTGATACAGTGGAAACTGAAGGAAAATGTTAAAAGAAAACAATTTTGAGTAAGCAATTCTGTGGCACGGCAGTCCCCATGACACAATGGTAAGACACTTGCTTGGCGCTTTGCGAGCACTTTGGCCTGGGTTCGTATCCTGGCTGGGAAGGATTGACCGGGCACCAATCCTTAACTGTAGCCTATGTTCCCCCAGCAATGAATGGGTACCTGGTTGTTAAACAATTTGGCAGGTCGTATTCCGGGGAAAATTAGTATTAAAAACCTGCCTGAAACACTATGCGTGCTAGTGGTTTTACAAGAATGTATTAACTCTTGTATATAAATAAAAATTGTGTTGCATAAATGCTGATAGCATGAACATGAAGAGTTATGTGACCCAAAGTTCCATGTTTATCATTATTAAAAATAAGCTGAAGTTCATAATAATCTTTTATATTTAGATTTTATGCCTCTAATTTTAAAATTTGCATTTTACAAGAATAATTGAAATATTCAGTATTTTAATACAGTATTGTTTTGTTCTTAAAATAGAAAATTGCATTGGTAAAACTTCCCACTGAAAGTGCATGACCTTGAAAAAAGCAAAAGTTATTTGAAGTTCAAGATTAATCTCCACAGACTGTTGTGGAAATACAATGTGGCAAAGAAGATACACACACACATCAGTGGGTAGAGAAATAAATTTTTAGAAATTTGCATGGTCAGGTGCATTGGTGCTGAGAAAGGGGTGCATGGTTGGATGCACAGTTGTCAAGGGAGCTGTACTCAGGATTTGTATCGACCCATTCTGCAGCAGACAGAACTGTCTTGCTATTACCTTTATTAGTGAAAATAATCAAACTCGCATTTGTGTGCATTTTGGTACCTTAATCACTTTGAGAAAAGGTAAATTTTTAAATGTCAATATATTCTGCTGCACCAAATTCCTGTACATTGAATACATGAGCTAGAAGTTCTCCCATTATTTTACATTGCAACCAACAACAATAATCGTTATGCCCAAAGAGAATTCATATTTTGTATCCACATTTCCACTAGATTTGTGGGAGTCCACATGTCAAGAGGGGCATACATGATATTTAGTGTCTAGTAAAACAAGGGGTAGCTTTCTCTGATAACTAGTCATATTCATATAAACTCCAATGAACTGGCTGGCAAAATAAAATCTGTCGTTCAAATGAGCTCCCAGCTCTCAAAGCGCATTCTTTTCACATTATTACACAATAATACATTCAACCTTATTTACATGGAAAGATAATTGGATTGCTTTATCCAATAATAAGCTTAATCTGCTTGCATATTAGTCTCACGTTGTACTAATTTGTCTCTTGGTCAGATGAAGGAAAGGAAACCTGACTCAACTTGCCTAAATTGTCTTGTCTCCACTCAATTATATTTCATTAATTTTCTAGATGACAAATTTGGTTAGTCATCAATTTTCTTTAATGCTATTGTGGAGCTGTTTAGTGAATCTGATCTCTCTAATGCATCTAAGCTCGTGTCTTTCTGCTCTTGTGTCAGTATCTTGGGTAAAAGCAAGGCTCTTACACATTATTGACTTAAATAGTACTGTATAGTCATACTGGATTAACCACTTCTGGTAATTGCTTACTAAGGAACTACTATTCCACTCCAGTTCTGTGGATTATCTCTTGCAGTCCGAACAAAATAACAGTAAACGTGCGAGTACAACATACACTTTTCTTTTGGTTACTGAAACAAAATATAAGATACATTTTATTTGTGTTATCATATGCAATTCACAAGTATAATATAAAAACTCTTAAACATTAACAAATATATAAAATTTAAAACCAGCTTGGAGCAATAGAAATTGGAAACTTTATTCACCTTAAATAGTATTAAAATGTTTTGCACAGGGATTTTTTAGATGTGGTCATAGAGTAATTTGTTAATGGCAACCAATGATTGCAAAGTCAGATCTGAGCCTCGCTTGTATAGGCAAATACAGAACTAATGATGAATTGAGGAGTACTATAAAACGAATAATACTTTGTAGTCAAAATAGATACCTTATTAAGGTATTATTAGTCTTTTTAATACATCTAGTAAGTCTGATAGGAAAGCTGAAAATATTGGAGAAATTTATTATGTTAGCCTCAATTGGTTCCTTAAGATTACAATGAAGAATTGTTTTTTCCTTAAATTTACTTTAAAATTTGGAATTTGCATGGGGCCCAAAATGTTATTATGTCGATTTAGCTTGATAGTGTGTTTGATGTTTAAAAGTGGTAAGTGGTAGAGTATAAATAAGTTAATATTTTAATGAAGTTAGTTATAAGTGGAAAACCTGGTGGCAGCTTTTGGCAAAGAATTTAACTATTTTATATACCACAGCACCATAATTGTTATAATATGCTAACAATTACCATTCTTCTTTTTGCATAATTTCCTCCATTTATTATTCGGTATATTGGTTTACTCAAATATATATTATGTATATTATAGAAATTGTGAACATGTTAAAAACAAAACCTAAGCCATACTTGTTTCATGTTGGGATAGCATTTACCTACCATAGAAAATTAAATTGTGCACTTAATAGAATGTTAATAAATCATGCATTAGGACTTGTATAACAACTTTAAAGCTAACCATATTTTTGCAAAAAATTCAATTAAAGATAAATAGAATGTATTTATGTATAATTACAGCACAAAATACAAAAGGTAGAGCAAAGTTTCCTTCTAGGACTCTTCTTTCACTTGTCTTCATCACTGTTGGTGTCTTCAGCCTTTCATCTGAAAGTAAAAATGATTACAAATACAAATATTTATTCAGGTAAAGTACATACATACAAGGTGAAATACAAAAGTTAATGGATTCATAGATAAAGCTAGTACATACAATGCCTAAAACCACTATTATGCAAAGCGTTTCGGGCAGTCAGTGTCAGTGAAGCACTGACTAATAATTCATTGTGTCAGGAGACAGGCAGCCAAAGTGTATTCATACACGTTAGATTTGTATCGAGGTCTCCCCTCCCCAGAGTTGAATTACTGACCCTGTCCAGGATGCAACCCCACAGCAAGCTGACTAACTCCTGGGTACCAAAACATTGGCATTTCTTCATCTTCTGGTGTATGGTTTGGTTATCATATCTTCAGCCAGGTTATTGTAACTTGTCTGTACAAGTTGAATGGGAAAATAAAGAGAGTTGGAGGAAGGACACCCGAGAGTGTATAACCGAGAGATGACTTCCCATAGGTTCAACAGTGGATGTAGCACATGACAACAGGTTCTGTCTGATGTGGAGTTTTAATATTCATTGTGGGCATTTCTCGTAAGACACGAGGCACTGCCAGATGACTTCTTGAGGTGTTGTAGGCATCAGAGAGGTGCCAAAAGAGGAGGGGGGTGTACTGCTTTTTGTTTTCTTTTTATCATTCACTGCTGAGGGAGGGACTAGTGGAGACGAGGGTGTCTGAAGCTCACATGATCAACAGCAATTCAGTTTGTACCCCTGGTCTCTTTTTGCTGTTCAGCAAGAGCAGTAAGAGTTTAGTGAGCAAGGTAGTGAATTAAGGTAACCTCCTTAGATAACCAACTTAATCCCCCACACAATATGCACATCTAATATACCATCTGCTCAAAAAAATGTACAGTAGTTCTTTAAAAGCATTCTTTCCTCTCCCTCTCCTGTCTCTGAGCATTATAGTACTCTATTATAATTTAAACAAGAATTCTAGCTTCTCTAGCTTTCAGCATACTAACTCTAAAACCTCAGTTATTCTTGTAAGGAAGGCAGTGTGTATCAGACAGATTTTATAAATCTCGCAGGCAAATCTTTTATCTTCAAATAGTCATCTATCATATTGGTCTGTGTGTACATACAAGGCAGTGAAATATGCTTTTAGACTACAAACTTTTTAATCTGGAGCTGCAGTGTACGAGGCCCCAGTGGCAGAAGACATCAGAAGTAACGAAGACCGATAGTGTCACACTTAACAATGTCAAGCTTATCTTGCAGTGACATTTTTCTTGTGTGACTACTGTTGCTGCTGATCTGCAAATTAGATAAGAAATAAATCTTCAGTAAACTCAACGTGACATTCATAGAAACCAAAGACAATAAAAATATAATAAATCCATCAAGACATGTTACCTAGTAGGCTCCTCGAAGCAACTCGGATATACTAATAAACCCACCCAAACATTAATACTTCATTCCCTAGTGCATGTACAGTATAAAAAAAAAAAAACAGAAAATCATCATGTGATCACAATTTCTTGCTTAATTAAATTGCAATTGAGCTAAACCTTTCGATTACCTGCTCATTAATGAATTAAAATGTGGCCAAACTCATCAGTGTACGAGTATCAAATTATGTCATTTTGTTTCAAATTTGACGGTTCCGTGCCCAAGAGCAATATGATGCCTGAAAGTGTTTATATGCTGTGCAGCCCATCCTCCAAACAAAGACCCAAAAGTGATTCCATGCACCCACCAAACCCCCTGTTTATGAATGAAAAACGGTTTACACGCAACTCGCAACTGATTTCGTTCGAACCCTTCCGGAACAAGTGGTTCACTGACAAATTCTGTTCGAACCACAACACTGTAACTGCTACACCCAAGTACTACAAATACAAATAGTTGCCAACATAACCTAAACACCTAACCTAACCAAACCTATGCCTATACTGTATATGCACAATATGCTAATATATTATAATGTTAATTTATATTTGAGAAAATTCCCATTTTGAATGAACAGCATGTAAAAATTTATGAATGTGTCTGTGGGGTTGGCCTCTGGATGTAATGGACTTGAGTCGAGGATGGGTTGATGCTGTAAGGTAAAAAAAAGTTGCTCGCAGATGCCTACAGATTTCTCGCATCATATAATGTAAATGAAAAATAGTGCTGTCTACTATCTAAAACCTGCATAACACATCAAGAATTTTTATTTCCATTATTGTGCATTGTACAACAACTTAGGGCAGAGATCAACTAGCCATCTTGGTTAAAACTTGACTTTATGATCACCACCCTCTCCATTTTCCCAGTTCACTCGCACAGAATTTTATATTTCATTACCCAAGGCACAGATTATTATGAAAGCTTTGAAGTAAAATAATTTGTTGATAACCAGTGTAGTAGTAGTAGGCATCATCAGTCTCGGGAGACTATGAAGTTGCACTCTGGTTGTTGGTCTGGAGTGGCCTCTCCAGGGCGCAAAGCCAGGGTAGGTTGATACGGGAGTTTTAAGTAAGCGTTAATATTTCAATTCAAAATTTGAAAATCTCTGCTCATACTTCACTTAAATTCATAATACATTACATTTTTTTCAATGGTATGTACGGTCTGCAGCATATGTAATATTACATTTTACTGTGTGGCAGACTGCATAGAATAGTCAGGTTGTTGAGTATTACCATTTTGCGAATAGATGGCTCAAATAAGTTAACTGTATATATAAATAGAAAAAAAAAAACAATGATAAGTATTATTTATGATATAACATCGTATGAAAAATATTATACAAATACTGGTACAGAATTCTTAAATTTCAAATAAATAAATGAAAGGAATAGAGCCTAACATGAGCAGTAGATGGATGTGGCAGCAACTGCTACAGTTTCGGCAAGTGCAGCGGCAAAAGCAGCTTTGACTTGTTTTTGGACTGGATTAAAATTGTATTGTGAAGGCTAAGGTTTCCACTTCCATATGATCTGGTGGGGTGTAGCAGGTCAAGCATTAGACCACAATCTACAGTACAGTATTATGTACCAAAGGGGGTATAGTACATGGCAAGGGGCTCGTGTGTGTGGGTATACAAGGTAGCGTCTAGTTGGTAGACTGTTCACAGTTGTCCACAGTGACACGTATTAACAAAAATTGTGACCTTGTACAATCTTCTTCCTCCCTTTCCTCAAAGTCAACTTTACTTTACGTTAGTATGGCCGTGGTCACTTGTCCCTCGATCGAATTCTTGGTGAATCGGATACTTTTGATATTGTTCGCCTTGTGCGTTTCTGTTCTCATATTGGCATCCTGAGTGATATTTAGCACCCTCTGATTATTCCATACATTTGCTGGTGCTACATAGCCTTCCCAGCTTGGTGCCTTCTTTGATAATTACTTACATACTTACATTTGTATGGATTTGTCAGTGTCTTTCTATATTCTTCTTGTGTATTTAATTTAAAATTACAAATATATTGTTGTACTACTGAGAACGGTACCCAGCCACTTTGACCTGGACGGTAAAGCGACGGTCTTGCTTCATGCAGGTCGGCATTCAATCCCCGACCATTGTAGTCAGGGATTGAATCCAAGTAGTTGGGCACCATTCCTTCCCCCGTCCCATCCCAATTCTTTTTTTTTTTCCTGACCTCTTCCAAGTGTTATAAAGTCGTAATGGTTTGGTGCTTTCCCCAGATAATTAAACAAAAAAATTATTGAGAATGGTGTCTTGGGTGTTGGCCCAATGAATGAATGACATCAAAATGCAAATAAGTGGGTTATAACCAAAGCAAGCATTGGTTCATCCACCTCTAAATGTTTATACCACAGTTTTTTTTCAATTTATCATCAAATAATTCGGTTATTGGAATGAAATTAAAACACAAAATTTGCTTCTTCCATACATTTTGCGATTGTATGGAAGGCTAACACGACCATAAAACAAAAATTAACAAAGTATAACCACAGGCAAGAAACATATGACTGATATACATCCACAGTCAACTTAGTAACATTCGGCAAAACATTGAAACAAAAACAATGGATTATGAAATAAAAAAAAAAACAAGTACAGAGACCTCTTGTCAACCAATACTTAAAGTAATGTAGATAGACTTTCAGCCTTACTTGATATGCATTCCATATCAGGTATTAATAGAACTCTACAAGATACCAATGTATACCAATAAATTGGGTGTATGATAACGAAGCCCCCACCCCCCACACACAGTACATCAGTTGATTGACGGTTGAGAGGCGTGACCAAAGAGCCAGAGTTCAACCCTCGCAAGCACAACTAGGTAGGTACACACATGCTGCAGCATAGCAAAGACTCCTGCATATAACACAGCCTCCCCCCCCCCCCACACACACACTGCAGCATAACAGTGCCTCTCCCCACGCTGCAGCATAACAGTGCCCCTCCCCACACTGCAGCATAACAGTGCTCCTCCCCCACGCTGCAGCATAACAGTGCTCCTCCCCCACGCTGCAGCATAACAGTGCCCCTCCTCACGCTGCAGCATAACAGTGCCCCTCCCCCACGCTGCAGCATAACAGTGCCCCTCCCCCACGCTGCAGCATAACAGTGCCCCTCCCCCACGCTGCAGCATAACAGTGCCCCTCCCCACACTGCAGCATAACAGTGCTCCTCCCCCACGCTGCAGCATAACAGTGCCTCTCCCCACGCTGCAGCATAACAGTGCCTCTCCCCACACTGCAGCATAACAGTGCCTCTCCCCACTGCAGCATAACAGTGCCCCTCCCCACACTGCAGCATAACAGTGCCACAGTGCAGTGTAACAGCTGGAGTTCACAAATAACGTTCATCATATACACCCACAGTATATCAGTTCAGTATAAGAGCCACACAAAGTTCAGTATAACAGTGATGTCAGCATAACAAAACTACAGTGTGACACGTAGCCAAGATGCTGGTGGCCGTGAAAGTGGGTGGCGGGAGAAGGAAGTTAAGAGGTGATGTGGTAATTTCCTCACGTTGACCTTCACACCACTCATACAATACAGGGCGGGTGGCAGCCGCACGCGCTAACGAATCGCGAAAGATAACGGACGCACGGCTGACGAATCGCGAATGGTAACGGGCGCACGGCTGACGAATCACGAAAGGTAACGAGCCCACGGCTGACGAAATCGCGAAAGGTAACGGACGCACGGCTAACGAATCGCGAAAGGTAACGGGCGCACGGCTGACGAATTGCGAAAGGTAACGGGCGCACGGCTGACGAATCGCGAAAGGTAACGGGCGCACGGCTGACGAATCGCGAAAGGTAACGGACGCACGGCTGACGAATCGCGAAAGGTAACGGGCGCACGGCTGACGAAACGCGAAAGATAACGGACGCACGGCTAACGAATCACAGAAGACTAACTCATTGGTGCCTATTTACTGCTAGGTGAAAGGTAATGTAGCCAACCATTTCTGTCCCGCCCGGTAGTCGAACCCAAGATCCCCTGCTGAGTCGAGAACGAAACCTACCACCGAGACTCATGACTGGCCAGAAAGCTGTTGTTGTTGATATAGATTCAGCTACTCGGAACAAGTTCCAAGTAACATGGGCTATGGTGAGCCCGTAACAGGCCAGAAAGCGCGGGAACCACTACTTACAGTCGACAGATGGTTTAAGGGAAGAACAGAGCTTAAGTTCAACTCTCGCGACAAGCGAGCGAGTTCACTAGCATGCACAGATGCGCGGGAAAATTCACAAGTTAGCCAAATCTTGAATTGCTGGAGAAAAGACAGCACTCAAATGAAATGTAATATAAAAGGTGGCGGAGTCTTAACTCCTAATACGGGTTCATGTAATTCACTGTGTTGGGGGACAGGCAGTCAGTGTATATATACACGTTAGGCTTATATCGAGGTGCCCTCCAACGTCGAGCCACTGACCCCGCCCAGGATGCAACCTCCACAACACGTTGACTAAATCCTGGCTACCTATGTACTGCTAGGTGAACAAGGGTATTATGTGATAGGAAATGCGCCCTTCCATTTCTATCCCGCCCAGGATTCGAACTCGGAATTCTCTATTGAAAGTCGAGAACGAGCCCGACTGTACTACCAGGACCCCTATATACAAACCATATGCTGATCAAATGCTTAAAAATGTGGGGCCCAGGAAGGGAAGGGAACTATCAGGAGGAAGTGCTAAATCATTACCACTATTAGCACTGTGAAGTGGTCAGGATAAGGAATTGGGATGGGACGGAATGGAAGGAATGGTGCACCAACCACTTGGACGGTCGGGGATTGACCGCCGACTTGCATGAAGCATGAATCGTTTGCAGCAAACCCT